TACTTGGTGACGCAAAGGGCAGGATGGTGGGAGCAGCTATAGGTAATGGGGAAGGAAAAGTGATCGGATTAGCAGTAGCAATTCCAGTGGGCAAGATGGTAGGGGCAGCAGTAGGGCCTTCGGTGGGGGCGGCAGTTGTTAACATTGTTAGAGGGGTAGGAGCCGTACTTGGGGCAATTGTTGGCTCTAACGCCGTGGGAGCTGCTGTGGGTATTGTGGGTGCGTCCAGAACAGCCTTAATGCGACATAGTCAGGCTCATAGATCAAGGTGCACGTTCCACCGCAACAAAACATTGCATTGTGGCCGTGTTTCAAGTTATAAAAAACGGTGCCGGCTCCCCTCCGTTCAATGAGCAGTACGTGTAGCAGTCGGAAGGCGTGGAGATCACAGGATTCAATCGTCGCCCACCCTCTAAAGCAAGCTCATCCATGTTTGCCGATGATGCCAACCGACGGTCCTCGAATGGTGCCAGTCGGCTAGCCTCCAAGCATCGCTGCCTCACGCCAAAGGGAATGAAAGATGTAGTAGGATTGATCGATGGCGCAGGTGTTGGAACACACGTTACCGGCGCTGGGAATAAGCCCTTACTGGGCTCTCTGAGATTCTGATATCGCACACGCAAGGTAGCAGGCTGGTCCAAAGTGCTCGCACAATAGGTCGTCAGGTCCGTCGTATTGATCAAATAAGCGAGGTTTGAAATAGACAGTTTCTCAGCAGGACAATCATCGACTATGACTTTGGCTTTGAAGACACGGTTGGGTCCTTTTTTTTAAACCAAATTCATTCTCAGCCAATACACCGCAGTAAAGCCATCAAGGTTCTGGACGACTCGCGGCGGCGTGACTGGTTTCGGGAGGGGGCGAGTTGCTGTTCTTATCAGAGATAATACGACAGGCAGCACCATCTTATAGTAAATATCATCGACGATGTCGTTAGAGCGGAGCCTGACGCTGATCTTCGCGAAACGCTTGCCGGCCAAAACGCTGCGCCTAGTACTGGGTTGCGCCTTTGCGCTGAGAGTAAAAGATGGACAATCTTGAGCCGCTTCAATGAGAACCAAACTTAAACCCAAAAATAGGGCTAGCGAAGAAATAAACCGAAGGCGCATGATTTTTGACGCGACAGAACCTCCTTTATTTCAACGACAGGTTGTAACGTCCAATCAGAAAGTGCACAGGGCTAACAAGGCGCTGTGTCCCGTGAGAAGGGTGATTATGAGAAGTATGGATATTAAAGGTACAGATAAATCGTTGTAGTAAAGCGTATCTCGTGAAAGATTGTTAAAAAAGTTAACTAAAATCTCACCTAATCATACACTTAGCTTGTATCGGGGCTTGTATTCGGGGAAAATTACCATTTAATAGGTCCACAAAATAAATTGTTCCGTTGCTATCGTAAGAATTCTTGGTGCACTCAGTAGCTTGAACAAGTCTCCATATAGCACGAAATAAAGTGAGCTCTCACCGTTTTGACATGGGCTGTCGGTGATTTCAAGTTGTTCGTCGTCGTTCAGCTGCCGTTTAATTTCTCCGTTGGCGACATTTTTTTGACCCGCAACCAGTCGAAGCCCGAGGATTTCATTTAAGTCGTATCCTCCCCCGAGTAAGGATGGGAACCCCTGACTCTTTTTCTTATTTATCAGGGCATTCAAAAGGGTGTTTTAAGGCCCAATGCATGATACGTGAGTCAGACGACTGCGCAACGTTTCGGAGCAATGATTTATAGCGTCTCGAATACGAATACAGAGCCATCAGAAGTAATTACTTTTCTATTTGTTATCAATATAATGCGTTCTTACACACTGTATACATGGAAAAAATTGAAGAAAGAGAAGCATTCATTCTGTGCCTAATACTTCCAGGCCCCTCTTTCCCTGAAACTCATGGGTGTATCGCCTTTAAGTAGTTTGTTCTCTTGTTCAGCGAAACTCTCTGCCAAAAGTGGAATCCTATTTATTCTAGCACGCTTTAGTCAATTGCTCTTGTATTCGATACACGCGTACTGTGATGATCACGCGCATTCTATACGCAGCCATTCAACGCGAACGTGTCTCTCCTCTTCAACCTCCAGGCTTCCCAGAGATCGGCTTTGCAAAGCCTCACAACAATAAATGCGGCAGTGGTGGCTGGAAAGATACCATGGAGGGTCCCTCACTGCGCTGGAATAGTCGTTAGCATGAGTGATTGACATGGGTGAGGATGGATGCAGCGTAGTGGGCGTTTTTTTTGACAGCAATAATTTGCCTTTTCCGAGTCCGTACCGTCATTAAAAAGAAGGCTTGTCGAGTTCAGTGAAGCTGACGATTCGGAAATGATCCTGGCGCATCTGAAGAATTGTATCGTACGTGTTTCTGTCTAGATTTGAAATTGTCTGGTGCGTTATGTCTCCAACTGGTGAAATTGAAGCCGTACACTTTCGGGAAGCGCCTTTTGAATTCCGAGCAAGTCCTTGTTCACGAGCATGATTCCAAAGGCTTAGAATAATTTTGAACAGAAAAATGCCACAGACATTCGAATCTCTATTTTTGTACTTTACGGACAGCTGGAAACATGCAATCAGACATCCACCGTAGGTTGGAGGCGAGGACACCGCGATGTTGTAATGAGCAACATGGGCCCTACAACGCCATGAACTCGGCACTCGCCTGGCCGCAAGAGGACCACAAAAGCCTTCACCATACGCGTGCGAATGAGAGCACATGAACGTGCTGCGGCATATTTAGCTTGTTGTGCTTATTGTGCATTCCCAGAAAAACGTGCACGCTGTGGATACTCTGACATGGGATGGCACCTTGCCTGGAGTAGATCGCAGCGACGGCACAAAACGGAGAAGAAACCCGTGCAGCAGTTTTACAGTAAACATTTCATGTGAGTAAAGCCCAAGCAATTTTTTTGAACATATGCGTGAACAGCATTCTTTCTTTAAGCAAACGATTGATGGCTTTCCGTGCACCATTTTCCCCCCAACACTTCTTGCATTTGAGCGAGCACCCGCGCTGCGATCTTAAGAAGTTCGAGCGGTGTATTTAGATTTAATTGGCTATGAATCAGAAAATTCCAAGAAAACACCTAAATTGATTCCATGGAATTCGTTAGCATGTTCACTTTCAAAGATGAAACGGCCTGGGGGAAAACATTGCACATGTCCATCTTCTCGCCAGGTGGTCGGTAGCGCAGGCGAAGTTGATTCTTTGCCGCTGCTGCTATTAGGTGTCGCATTTTATCCTTGTTTTCTCACCGACCCGTGACAGCGCAGGCTGGCCATGTGGCGTGCATTGAACCATGTAAAAATCGATCTTTATTGCACGCAGTGTCGGTGTCTTGCACCATTTACGGAAAGACCAACCGAGTTCTAGATCGGGAGACGATTTCGTTGCAACCCTCCGGCTCTCCCGCATCCGGTTGCGATATACCCATATTCCGAGCTCTTGTTTGTTCAGAGGCAAGTGGTCATGCCGAGGGCAAGAGTTTGCCATGACGGCCGATCGGCGGGCACGAAAAGCGTTTTGTACGTGGTGTTCTGTCGGCATGTGCGTGTGCCATGGTCGTGTCTGGTGCAGTTTTGGATATTGCGGTAGTTAATGCGGCCGCCCCAGGCGGGAGGTACCCTCAGCTCGCTATTCTTTCCGTCTTTCTTGAGCGACTGCTTCGCGAGCTTAAGGATTTGTCTCGTTGGACGGCCTGTGAGCCTATTGGGTTAGCATACACGGAAATAAAAGGGCCAGTCCAAGGCAGCATGCAAAATCTTCCTTCTTGCTACTCTTTGATGATTTTTATTTCACCCTTTGTATCCCCGATCCCACTTAATTGGCCTCAGGCGGCGAAGCACTCAGCAAGAGGTTCTCCCTTTCTATGGAGTACTAGTTTGGATAAATCCAACATTGAGCACTTTCTGCGAAGGGTGCAAATTACCTCTTAAAGGGTGCACTCAAGCGAAACTAAATTCGCTCAGTAGGAAGGGCGTGTGCAGAGACATGGTCGCCATGGAGCGTGAAACTTGTCCTCACGCGCCGTCTCAGGGGAACTTGGAGAAGACCGTCACAGATATTCATCCAAGGCAACACATCGCAGCCTACGGTCGTTATTCTCACCAGGAGTCTTGCCAGGTTCGAGAAGGAGGGAATGTTCATGGTGATGCGCGCTTTGTCATGAGTGACGAGGACGGGAAAAGCTTGGATTGCAACGAGGAACTTGGGGACGCGCTGGAGACAACCTTGGGAGTTGAGGTAAGGTCCAAACTCGCCCACCATGTCGTTTTTGTTTTTTTCTTGCCAAAACTTCACAAAATGATTCATACTGCGGGCATTACCTAACTCGTTCCATCTCGCAATTATGTCCTTTTCGTCGGTGCAGAACCGCCCCCCTACTTTCTCAAACGACCGACCTGGCATCCGATCCGAGCCGCAAACTCATCCATTCCAGCACCTACAGCGGTTCCCACCTCAGCCCCAGCGCGTCTCTGACTGTATTCCGCCGCCACTGAACATGGCCAAGGTACCCAAGTTCTCGGAGCACTGTGGCCGGACCAGTGTTACCCGTATTACCTCAGGTCATCCTCCGCCCCCTCCCCCGCCGCCCCGCACGGCCTTTGGACGGACACAGAGCCTTCCTAGCCTCTCCAAGCCACCCCCTCCGCCCCCTCCCCACCTGCTTCGGCAGCGGTCGTACTCCTCCCTCTCCCGGCCCTACCGGTCACGAACGGGCCAATTCCTCTCCCAGCACTTGGACGCAGTGGACGAATCCGACCCGGAGGACGTGGCGGAGATGGTCTTGAACATGCACATCCAGGAACGGGACTATTACGCTCCTCCCTGGGCCTATTTCTGCCGCCTGGAGAAGGACCCGGTGCTTGCCTACTGGCGGCGCGGCGCGTTCCAATGGTTCTCGCGTGTCGTCCAACACATGCTGGGGAACCGGGAGATAATCCCAATGGCCACGAATTTCCTGGACCGGTATTTGGCGGCGTCGCTGTACCCACACTTGACGGGGCCGTACGCGGCTTCGCACCCGAGTCCCGTCGCTCCCTGGGCACCGATGTCGGGGGAGGGCCTCGAGACGGAGGGCGAGTGCTCGCCGGCTCTGGGCGTCGGGCATGGGTGGGAAGGGCAGGAGAACTTCGGCCGCGTCTTGTCCGCCGCCTCCCCCAGCCTGGGACAACTGGATGGAAGCGACGAGGTGCCCGTGCCGGCCGTCCTGGCGGACGAGCGCACCTTTGAGAAAGTGGCTGTCTGTGCGCTGATCCTTGCCTTGAAAATGCAACAGGGGGACAGCACGATGAATGTGGCGCGAAAGTTGACGAATCTGACCAGTGCCTGTCATCTGAGCCAGGGTGCCTTGTGTGCGATGGAGTTTCGGATGATGGGGGCGCTGGGACGGTACTTGAACCCGCCCACACCGGGCACGCTCATCCACCACCTCTTGCATTTCCTCCCCGCCCGAAGGGAGAACCGGGCCCTCTTTTTGGTTCTGGACGACCACGCCAACGATTTGGCGCTAATGGCTTTGGAAACACCGGAGCTGGTTCGTTTCCCGGTCTCGATCATCGCCGTGGCGGCCATCCTAGCCTCCTTC